TCATTAGTGCTACAGTTTTCTGGTACTTGTTTCTCTTCTTCCTGAGTACGCTGCAACATGGCTTTTTCATCAAAAACCACATCTCTACTGATCACCATCTTGTTTGCCTGCGGATCCCAGAGCTTGAAGCCTTTCACTCCTTTCTGATATCCCAGAAAGGTACACTGTCTAGACTTCGCATCAAATTTCGACCTCTCCTCACTAGAAACATGTACATAGGCTGGACATCCAAACACTCTCAAACCAGAGTAGTCTACCTCACTGCCTGTCCACACCTCCTCTGATACTTTCCCATCTAGTGCTGCCCTCGGTGATCTGTTAATCAAGAAACATGCCATATTCACTGCCTCTGCCCAGAAATTCTTTGCAAGCCCTGCATTCAACCTGAGACACCGAGCTTTCTCGGCTATCGTTCTGTTCATCCTTTCCGCTACACCATTTTGTTGTGGTGTCTTGCGGACTGTGAAGTGTCTCTTGATCCCATGCTGCTCACACAACTCCTGGAACTTTGAATCTGTGTACTCAGTACCATTATCTGACCTGAGGCATTTAATCTTCCTCCCTGTCTGGTTCTCTACTTCAGCTTTCCACAGCTTGAACTTGGCAAACGCTTCTGACTTGTGCCGCATGAAGTACACCCAGACCTTTCGTGAGTAATCATCAATGAAACTCACGAAATACATGTATCCTCCCCGTGATAGTACGCTAACTGGTCCCCAAACATCTGTATGGACATAGTCGAGAACCCCCTCTGTCTTGTGTGTGGCTGTCTTGAACTGCACCCTATTCTGTTTTCCAAGAACACAATATTTGCAAAAATTGAGCTTGCATGTCTTGACACCCTTCAATAGATTTTTCTTATGAAGCTCTATCATCCCACGCTCACTCATATGACCCAGCCGCATATGCCACAAGACTGTATTATCTGATTCAGACTCTACAGCAGCAACTCCACCTACAATTGTAGTACCCAGCAGTCTGTAAATGTTTCCTACTACTTTCTGTCCCTTCATCACTGTCAGCATGCCTTTACTTACTTTCATTACTCCACTTATAGATTTGTAACTATAACCATTACAATCCAAAGTGCCCAATGAAATCAAATTCTTCCTTAGATCCGGTACATGTCTAACATCACACAACGTTCTAACCATACCATCAAACATCTTAATTCTAATATTTCCTATTCCAACAACTTTGCAAGATGCATCATTACCCATCAGAACAGAACCAGAATTTACTGACCTGTAGGTGTCAAACCAATCTTTGTTGGGTGTCATGTGATAGGAACATGCTGAATCCATAATCCAAGAATCTGTTAAACGATCTGAACTAGATAAAACAGAAAGCATATCTCCGTCACCACTCTCTGAATCTTCTTCTTCCACTACGTTTGCAGACTTTGATGCACCCTCTTTGTTCTCTGAATCCCCTTTCTTTTTCTCTGGACAGTCCCGTTTAAAGTGCCCCTTTTTCCCGCACTTGTAACACGAGACAGAGACGTCCTTCTTCTTCTTCCTCGACTTGGACCGGGCTTTATTGTTACCCGATCCATTCCGAGATTTGCTTCTTCCACGTTCCTGGTTACCTTTCACCACAAGCCCTTCACCTTGTGAAGCCTCATCACTGGCTTTCTTCCGCTGATGAAAACCTAACAGAGCACCTGTGACATCCTCCAATTCGAGGGTTTCTTTCCCCCACATCAGAGTCGTAACCAAATTCTCGTACGTAGGAGACGCCGGTAAGGAATTCAGCAACATCAGCGCCTTGTCTTCGTCTTCGAACTTCACATCAACTCGCTTCAGATCGCTGATGATCTGATTGAACACGTTGATGTGTTGGGTCAAATCCGAGCCCTCTGACATCTTAAGACCATATAGTTTCTGCTTAAGATAGAGCTTGTTCGTCAACGACTTGGACATATACCGACTTTCCAGTTTCAACCAAACTTCCGCCGGTGATTCCTCATCCATGACGTGATACATCACTTCATCAGCCAGACAAAGCCTAATAGTCGCCACAGCATTCGCTTCCAATTCTTTCCAATCCATGTCGTCCATCCCTGCCGGTTGTTTTCCATATAATGCCTTCACTATACCCTGCTGCACTAACAGGTCCTTCACCCTCCTCTGCCATAATCCCTAATTCCCAGTTCCGTCGAACTTCATGATGTCGAATTTCGTAGAAGAAATCTCAGACATCGTAGTCTAGCTCTGATACCAATTGTTGTGATCGTGCAACAATTATGGTGAATAGTAAGGAATCAAACAATTAAGAAAGCAGGAGAAAATAACACACAGAGATTTACGTGGTTCGGCAATGTGCCTACATCCACGAGAGCGAGCGGCCGTTCTTTTCCATTATTGAAGTAGGGTTACATCTTAAGTATTTATATAACCCTAATATGGACGTATTTATAAAAATACCCCTATACCGTACCGATTTGATTCGCTAAATAGTAGATCGATATCCCTTTGCCTTATTGAGCTTGAATTTGAGCATGTGAAGGAAGCCTATAGGTAGGAAGGCCTATTTGTTGACATGTTGCTGAAGGATTAGTGGGTCTTAATATACCAATAGCTCTGATATCAAAAAAGTGTTTGAGATGAAATAGGAATTCTATTGGATGATATTTCCAAAGATTCCTAGCCTTTTATTTATAGTATATGCTTGATAAAAAGATAAGTCATATAGATCATTGGTACATTGCAAATTCCGTGCATTGCATGGTACAACGTCTAGTATAACTTTATAAGCATTATATTCTCTTTGATTTGTAGCCCTAGGCTTTTTGGTGGGCATGCATGGTTTAAGTCTACATCTAGCGAGGAATAAAAGTATGCACAAAAGAACATGGCAGGGACCTCTCTAACACCATTGAGCAGCCATATGCTCTCTCTCCTAGACGCACGCCCGCCTGCCTGCCCGCAAGTGTACTGACGATGCGGGTCTTTTTCTCAAGAGCGAATAATTGTTAGAATCTATATACAGCATCATACAAAGCTACATCTAAGACTTTTCAGCTACCATATCTAGACCAGATCCCAAGGAAGAATGTAGCTGTATGTAGAGAGAGAGAGAGAGAGAGAGAGAGAGAGAGAGAGAGAGAGAGAGAGAGAGAGAGAGAGAGAACCCTTTATTTCCTTAATGAAGCTTCGTAGGATTCTGGTAGCTATAGAAAATAGGAATTGCTGAATGCTGCATTGGATAGTTTTTGGTTACATTCGGTTCCTGCAGTAAGGGTGTTGCAGTAATTGTTACTTGGCTCTTAAATAGGTCAAAGTTATAATTTTTTTCGATAGTTTAAATTACACATATAAGTTATTATTATGAGAGGGGTCGGTCCAACTAGAAGGCTAACAAAACTTAAGTTTTAGGCCCCATGTTCAAAAAATGCTTCAAAATGCATATTTAGTTTAAATCAAAAAAATTTTGATCCATAAGATTTTGTGCCCTAAAAAGAAACCTATGAAAATTTAAGCCTAATTAAAAAAAAAATATTTGAGTAGTTTGGGCTTATGAACCCAACCTATAATATTAAAACTACAAAAAAACAAATTTTTAGGGGAAAAAAAAAAGAGCTAAGGGTTAAATAAAAAATTAAGCCGTCAACCAAAACATACCACTAATTTTTAAGCATTCGTATTCTCTCTCTCTCTCTCTCTCTCTCTCTCCCCCTATAATAAACTAATGCCCTCCCTCTCACTCAGTCTTTGCTGAACACAAATTTTTTTTTTTTTTGGGTTTGTGTTAAGAATTTTTTTTTTTGATTTATATTATGAAAAGCATACTAAAATATTTTTGGTAAACTTAAAAAAATTAAAATTAGTAGACCATTATTGTTTTAAATTAAAACTGATAAAATCTTTTATAAGATCGATTATCAAAAGAAAGATTAGGTGAATTAGTCATACTATCAATATAAAAAGTTATGGTAGCGAAACTTAAACATAAAAATTAATAAAACTTTAAATCTAAAAGTTTTAAATTAAAAAAATATTAATATTAAAATAAAAAACCTCATTTTTAATTGTCACTTTAGGTCTCGGCCACCCTACTTATGAGCGAGCATAAAGCATTTCAATTAATAACAAAAAACACAATTTCTAAAAGTCACTAAAAGTTAAGTTACAATTGTTTGAGGTTATTCGTGAACCATCACAAATAATTGTAATTTCTACTTTGGAAGGTATAACTTGCCATCAATAATAATAGAGTATGATCAAAAAAAAAAATATTCGATATTGTATTCATTTCCAAGGAATAAATAGAGACATTTTTTAAATTAATGAATTAGTTACACCTCCCCCAACAAGCTAATGTGTCTTCTTCATGGATGTAGGCTTGTAAAATGGGTCCAAACCCTCCCTAACAATTTCCATGGTACCTTTGTCTCTACATAGTCTGTGGGTTTCAATCATGGCATTATCATTCTCATGGTTAACAGTAAACAAACAGACAACACACACAGACAGACTAAATAGTTTTTGACCAATTTCGATTCTACTGATTGTTTCTTAGCTCTTAAATAGGTGAAGTTATATCATTTTTTGAGCATGTAGATTACAATTACAAATGGTCCAAGTTATTATTCAAAAAATTACGAACGAGTATAAAATAAATCATTCATAAAATATTTAATTTTTAAGGTCAATTAACAACAGTTTGATGTTGTATATGATCGATTACAAATAATTATAACTTCTATTTTGTAAGGTGTATGTTAGACCATCAATAATAGTATTTTTAGCAAGATACGAATTTTTTTTTTTTTTGGGTAATGAATACATTTCCAAGAGAATAAATAGAGACATTTCTGAAATGAATTAGTTATAGCCCTCTCAGCAACCTCATGTATCTTCTTTGGGGGTGTTGGCTTGTAAAATGGGTCTAAACTCTCTCTAACACTTGCATGATTCCTTTGTTTCTAGTCCGTTGGTTTCAATCATGGCATTATCATTGTCATCGTTAGCAGTAAGCAAACAAGCAAAAGAGAGAGAGATCGATCTATCACTTCCAGAAAAACAGCCATTTGATTTACATTCCTAATCATAGCCATCCTTTTCTTTTCGTTTGAGCTCTTGACAGCCTAAAAACTTTGATATTGAAACCAACTTCACAAATAAAGCATATAGACTTGAAATCCTAAGAAAACTATCTTTTCTGCAAGACCGACAAACGCCAAAACACAAACTTTAGCATTTGAAAGCAAAAGTTGTTACATCATCAACCTACAACATTCCATTAAATCTTAAGAACCTAGTAAGTCTGCAGATTATTCTAACCCACATTAGTCACCCATGAAAGCTAATAAATTACGAGAAATAGTCAATAAATCAGCAGTAGACATATATAAATGTTTCTATTTATATGTGAAGTTCATCAATTACTTGAAAGGACAATTGTAGTCTTTGCTTGCCTCAGTGATTGAACTCCAATCCCACAGTTTATCAGAGAAAGTTGTCTGATTTGAGCCCGGAAGCATATTGCCAGAAAGTGACTGTGGTTGTGGCAGCAAAGTAGAGAACTGAGAAAGCTGGGTTTGAATCGGATGATTATGATACTGCTGCTGATGATTGATTGAAGCATGTTGGTAGCTTATTAATCTGTGTAGATCATCAACACCATTCTGCTGCATCAAAGGAGAACCCGTAAAAATGTTAGTCGAAAAATAACTCTTTGGTATCGTAGTCTGACTCGACTGTTGTAGTAACATTCCATCTTCGTCCATGGGAGCTGGTGGTGCGGCGGTGGCAGTCATTTGGACTAATTCACTGTAAGAACCATGGTTGGAAAGGCCAAGAGCTGTCGCAACGTCGGTGCTGCTACTTCCACTTGTTTCAATCATTTTTTCGTCGATTTGCTGTGATTGTGTTCCGGCAAAAGCTTGGAATTTCTCAATAGCACAATGAGTTGCTTCATGCTGTTTCTTATGATCTGATTGTGTTGCTCTGGATGAGGATGCTCTTGTTGGTAGAGAACGAGGGAGGGTCGGGTGGTCTTCTACTCCAGCTCTTTTGTAAACTCGACAGAGAGAAATTTCAGCCTGAAAACAAGTTGGAATTGAAGAGCATGTATAAATGAGAGATCGAATTAAGAAATTTCATGTAAGAGAAGGGACTTCACTGAGAGTTTCTCAGATATTAAGAATGACTCATTGGTTGAAGCTATTATGACAGAATCATTAGTATTTAAAGCAAGGGGTGTTTATGGGTCACTGAATAATTTAAAGTTCCTACACGTTGAACCTCAATTTCTGTTAAAATCAAAGAACTCAACTAAAAAAACAAAATTGGAAACCCAGGTATCAGTTTGTTTTCTTTTATCATTTTCCTTTTCGGGTTGTAAGGCCTTCCTTTAGTCTCTATCTTCGAACATGTGACTATCTTGCTCGGGTACCTCAACTTTCTCGTCGCACCCTAAGCTTGGCTGCCAAAAGACTTGTTCCGCATTATGGATCTGTGAAGAAAATATCTTTTTATTGCTGATTTTGTGGACTGTGCGATCAGTTATATCAAAGTTTTGGAATGAGATAAAAAATTTCAAACACTGGAACCCTTTTAGGAGGAAATGAAACTACTATCACCAAATATATAAATCTATTGGCTTTTCCAACAACTAGGTTTCCAGGAAACAGTTGGATCTAGGTTGAAGATTAGTGTGATCCTCTTGGAGAGCAACTCAAGGTTGTCTAATCCAAGAAAAAGAAGACAAAGTTTATCGACTTGAGATAAACGAGTGAACCCACCAATTTCAATACATAATAGTACAATCGATTCTCTCACTTCTTAATTATATTCTTACAGAGAGTGTAAAGTTGGATCCTCATTCATGAGTAAAATTTCTTCAATTCTGCTCTTCTTTTTCACTTATTTTCTAGTCTTCTCTCCTTGTTAGTATAGTTCTAACAATGAACGAGGCTACACATATATCTACCTTCTACCTTTTGTAATCGTTCGGTTTCGTGCTGTGGCAGGCGGTATTCATTCATGATCCAACTAGTTCTGATGCCTTTTGGAGCTTTTCCAGAGTAGAAAACAAGGGTCTTCTTCAACCCAATTGACCGGAAATTCTCAGTTCTGATCATTCTGTCAGCTCCGGTAGCCTTCCAATAGCCTGAAGTAGTCACTCGATTCGGTCTATCCCCGTTGCGATACTTCCGATCTCTAGGCACATAGAAGAACCATTCCTTCTCTCCAATTGCTGCCAAGGCTGAGATCAACAAAGAAAAAGGAAGTAACCCTAATCAGACCAAAAAATCAAAAAAAAATCGATAAAAAAAGAGTGATACGATAATTATAGATGGTGAGGTGGGAACTCGAGAAGCGAGGGAAAGTATACCAGGAAGTTCCCAAGGGTCGTAACGATAAAGATCTAGGAAAGTGATGAGTTCAACGTTGAAACGCTTGCCCTCTACCTTACGGCGAAGGTAGAACTCTACAAGTTCCTCCTCGGTAGGGTGGAAGCGAAAGCCGGGCATGACCATGTCGTTCTCATGATCATCTTTGTTTTCATCTTGGCTCATGGTTGCTGCAATTGCCATAAACAGAAGATAACTTGTAATCAAGGGGGTCAAGTTCTCTTTAGCTTGGCCTCCCCTCTTTATAAATGGAGTTATTGTACGATAAGAGGGTGGTGCAAGTTGTCTAGAGGAAGATAAGGAAGGGTTAAAATGTCGTACCACCCAAAAGTTAGGTCTTACAGTCAATCTTCCCCCTCCCCCTCTCTCTCTCACACACAGGAAAGAAGAAGGACGTAGAAGAGAGAGAGAGAGAGAGAGAGAGAGAGAGAGGGAGAGGGAGAGGGAGAGAGAGAGAGTGTTAATGGAAAGATCTACGTAGCTTTCTGGCCCTACATGGAAGATATATGCGCTATGGTGTTTAATATGAGGAAATGACATCTCAAAAAGAGGGACAGGGTGGACACAACCAGTTAGCGGTGGGTTTGGAGCTTTCTTAATTCCACCATAAATTTTGTAAAAAACTAATTAATTTAAATATTTTTTTTGGGTCAACTTTTCCCTCTCTTTTACCCTACCAATTTTTACAATGATAATATTTAAGTGTCAAATATATTTTGTTCAAAAAAAAATGTCAAATATATGAGCAATGCTTGATCAAATATCTCTGATTTTAACCTACTAATATAGATTAATTGGGTTGTCATACATAAAAGATTTGGCATTACTCCACCCCCCCCTACACTAGCACCATGGCCACCACCATACCACCTTCTAATTTCCACATTGTTTCATACATATACCACTCCTAATCTCAATTTTAGACCATTAGGGTGTGTTTAGTTTGAGAATTTATGATGGGGGGTGAGACTGAACTAAATTAGTGTTGTGGATGTTTAATATGGATTTGAATCACGTTATAGTACGACGTTAATGACTTTGTTAGTACTGTCCCGATTCTACAATGTCATCTAACGCTTGATAGTTCGTATAAACCAATATTATGTAATAGGTGATATTAAATGAAACCTAATTAATATTTTTTGTCATTTTTCATGTTATGTTAGCCAAACATATAAAAATTTTCTCTTGTAATTTTTACTACTATCCTGCTGAATAAACAGACCCTAAATGAATAGAATATTGCTAGTAGGATGCAGGTTATGTACTGATATAGAGTGCGTTCCTCATCTTGTTAAAGTTAACACCATACATTAACCACCCATCAAAACATGGAATTGGTTTTGGAGCATTGGACCCAAAATTCATCCAAACTTTTATCCAAGCATTGGGGTAGGATAAAATGGTAGACCAATTGTTACCATTGGTATGAATCGATTATGAACAATTGCACTAATTTTTTGAGTAGTGAAGGCAGTCTGGAAGTAATGGTGTTACTTTGTCAGTAAGTGTCACGAAGCATGGCTATGACATTTCACACTAACCAACTCTTCACATTCTTTAGAGGGCTAGTAGTAGAAAATAACTAGATGATCCATTTGACATCATATTTTGAACCCTCAACATCACTCGATCAATGTCTCTCCCAAATTTATTTCGTATGAAATTAGTCTAATTTCTAATATGTTTATAAACTATGAACTGGCATACTATTAGAGAATCACATGATCTGAAAGTGGAAGTTTCTCTAGAATAAGATTGAGATTGCATAGGTGGCTGTGATGTTCAAAGTATGTGAATTAAGAACTACTTGAAATCATTTTTTTGGAGGATAGCTAATTTCTTTAATCGACAAAGATTAGTATTACAATGAAGCTCCGGACGCACCTAAGATAACAAACTTTGGGGCCACACAACGCATTTCTCAAAAGAGACTTGGTTGCACAAACCTAGTCTAGAAATACTATTGTGCTTGTAACCCGAGAGAGTAGATAGAAAAAATTGCTTGCCCTACTCTCAGAAGCAAGGTGATACAAATTACTCTTCTCACCCATCAGTTCCTCAAAAAAGGAGAGTGCTTCTTGCTCTAATTCTCAAGCGATGAGCCCATTTACAGTGGTATTACACCAACTATTTCTATCGATTTCAAAATTGTATGTAGCAATCTCACAAAGCATACAAACAAAATTCTTCAAATAGGAGAGAAACTTATTTCTCCAGAAAAAATAATAAAGCATTTTTGATTAAGAACTCATTCAATCTCATGCAAGGCTCGAAGAGATTTATTTTTTCAAATTCCCATCCAAAATTAACAAATATCTATCATTTGTTAGTTAAGAGAGAAAGATATTAATACTCTTGTATTTGAATATAGTTTTTGTATTTTTTATTCGGATTAGAACTACTGTCTCCCTCTGGTATGTTGCTCCATCATCTTCGATCCTACGCTCGAGTAATTGAGGGGTCTAAAGATTATGCACCCACTTGATAGTGGAGGTGTGCCAATGCACTAATTCTACACAACCAAATTAAGTGTATCTGATATCAAAACTTTTTTTATATAATATTTCTTCTTTTTTTATGTTTATGGAGGTAGATTTGTAGGGGGGGTGGTGGTGTGGGGCTTGAGGGGGGAAACAAATTCCTGCACCAATGCATGCATAGGTTGGGGATGGGTTGGAGTCTACTGCCTATGAGTGTGTGGGACTGGCATAGTCAAGTGAAGCCCGTGACCACTCTCTCTCTCCATGATGACAATAACAAGAGGTTCCTTCTATTTGTTTGTTTTTTAATGGCTTCCACATCTTTTTCAGATTTCACCCTTTTTTGGTCTTTTCTTCTACAATGTGTGTTAATTTATATAGGTATGGACTACCACTTTGGCACCGCACACTCAACTTTCTGCACAGAACTTTTTGCATTTATAAAGATTCACCACTTATTGAGTTCCATGCTCTCTCTCTCTCTCTCTCTCTATACATATTCGTCATCCAATCGCTATTTAGCTATCTTTTTAAGTTCTATGTAACGTTTTTGCTTTGTAATGGAAAAGCCAAACCGTGTCTTATTTGAAAACTAAGACATCGACATGGGTCCTTAAGACTCCAGAAAAAGCTTTCCCCCCCCCCCCCCCCCCCCCCTCTCTGAGTGTGTATATAGATGGCCAAATAATAACAGTTAAATATTTTCTCCATCCATGGAAATGAAGTCTTAAGTTTTTGTCTTTTGTTGATTGATTCAACTGGAAGAAGAGATGATATTCCAGAATCGTTTGACTCTTCTGCATGCTTCATGCACATATATATGTAAGCCAGAGGAGAGAGAATTTTCAATGACAAGGACTACCCTCCTATCATAACCCACCTTCATCATCGTAATAAGAATATCATATGGAAGCAAACAAGTATTAAACAATCACTATATATATATATATATATATATTGTCTTTATAATACTGGAAGTGAAAACCCTAAAGTCAGTCAAAGAGTTTTGTTTTCACACCAGAAAACAAACCCACTTGGTTTAGATTCAATTCCAATTAGGTAACTTTCTTTCTCTTAAGTTTCACCAACTTTATAAAAAATATACGGAAAAGAGACTAAATATTGACTTTATATTTTGTGTATTTATTTATAAAATTAAATTTAAATAATTGGATTCCAATTATTTTAAGTGACTCCATTTGGTGGACCCCTCTTACATTCTGCATGACAATGATACTCCTCTACTGGAAACTTGTAGCACCCAAAAAATAAAATGAAATAGTTTTTCACTTCTTTCTTACCTCCTAAACTTGAAAGGGTTACCATGAAGAATAATATTCTTTCTGGACTTAACAACTTGATCTAATTATGTGACAAGGGCCATAGATTATGTAATGTCCTAATCCAATTCATACCATTCAAAAACGCTAAAAATATCAATAGCAAATAAACAAATCTCTCTGATTACAATCATTCCAATCACCCAAAAGAATAATTCACCATCGAAAGGTTTTTCACTTTCTTTAATCGAGCTGATCTTTTACCAACTTCTGCTCCACTTAATAATTTGAAATCTCTAAATTTTCTAGCAAGTCTATAACAACCTTAAACCTTACAATTTTTCCTAATTGTCATCCTAATTTTTTTTTCTATATTTCATCACCAATAACATTAAAACTATAAATCCTCATTTCAAAAAAAAAATTTGGAATGTTACAATTTTGATGAAAAAGTCCAGTAGTTATAGTTATAATAATGATGTTGGTCCATGTCAACCACCACACCATTAATTAGGTCAAATTTATAAGTCTAAATAATATTACTCTACTATAGATGTGGCACGCGGTTCATAGCCTGAAAACCTGAGGTCCAATCACCACACCAAATTATCTTTTCTAAAAAGTAAATTGTAATTGTATTAAACAAACACGACATTGCTCTAAACTTCATTTTGCTTCCTTTCTTTCTTTACAAAGCAAACAAAAATGGGAAAAAAAAAGAAGCTTTTTGGCCAAAGAATTTTGTTTTAGTTATAAAATAAACTGTGGGTTGAAAAAAAAGGTCTGAATATAAGAGACTCTAGCTTAATAGTATGAGCAATCTAGAAATTAAGAAGATTAAGCTTCAAGAACAGAGTGAGGGTACTTAGGATACTGCAAAATAATAAGACATAGAATTGCCCATAAACTTCATTCAATAGCGAGACTCATTGTTAATCTAATATTATAATATTAGGCCTTTAAATTAGATTTCAATAGAATTGCTTAGAAAAGAAAGATGACAAAAAAATATATTGCAAGTAAACAAATTAAAAGGTCTAAATTAAACATATTACTTCCTTGGTTTTCTTACCGCATCTAACATTTAAACTTCTTGTTAATTCAATGACTACAAGGACTTAGATTAATAAATTAAATCAAAAAAATAAATTCAAATACTTTTTGTCATATCAGAAGTTCCATGAATGTCTGAATATCGTCGTGCTTACTAGACTAGAAATCCCAATGACCAATACCAATTCCTTTGGTAAGACTATAATATTGAAAAATTAATTTTTAGAATAAAATTTTGTTCAATCACAAAATTACATATGAAAATACTTATTATTGTATTATCTTTATAGTCAATGACTATAAATAACTCAAATAATAAATCATGGATTGCATAATAGTTTGGTGATCCCAAAAAATTAGACTTTTTGTACTATCACCACTTACTCTATCTCTACCACCAGGCTGCCATCTTCAACTCCTTTCCACCAACCCCCTCTCTTTCCC